CAAACACAGGAGATGAAATCAGGAGGGGAGCTATGCTGACTGTTTGCAAGTTGTGTGTTAGATCATGAGTCGCAGGTTGACCGGCTACATTGAACAATTTAAAAGCATAAACCATAAGGAGTTCCGTGACAGAGATCAGAAGTATTAATAGCAACAGAGGAGACTGCACTTGGAAATAAAATATGAAGATACAAGTGTGTCAAGATAACCTGCTCACCTCAGAGTCGCTCTTTCTACCACTATTGTTACAAGGAAGACAGGTGACTATACGTCCTTTCCTCACAATTCAACTTTTTCAGGTCATTAAGCAATGCTAATTGGAAACAAGTGGAGTATTAGCTACTCAATGACTCAACAGTATCAGCCCCTCTCAGTCATCTTCAGTCCTTACATATTCTGTGATTACAACACATGAAAGCTATTTTTCTTCTTCCTTTCTAAAAGATAAAATATGCTTGACACGGTGCTAAACATGAAATGTTAATCACCTACATTACCACAAAATCAGCATTTGGCTGCTAGATGTATGCTGAACATCCCTACCTTGAGAAATATATCGGGGCCCAGCATTCCTGGTCTGCAAGCTACCAAAGCATGTATTATGCATAAAGGGCCAAAATATGTGTGGTTATTTGCCTCTGCAAACCTGGGACATCACAGAGACTGCCAGGGGCAGAAACTGGTCTGTGGATCAAAGAGCTTTCTCATGTTAAAGACTGAGAAGAGGGTATGCTCCAATGTCTGTGTTTACAAGGTATACCTCTAGAGATACGGCAATATACTTTAGCTTTTTTTTTTTTTTAATGTAATCAAAATACAAAACAATCTTCAGAAATATTTATCAAAAGCTAGACAGTTTTCAGCCCTTAACTTCATCCAAGGTGGAGGTAGTCATTCCATGCCGCAGGGAATGCTGGGCAGGGCACTGGAAGGAATAAACTCAATTTCCAAGCTAACAAGAAAGTTCTGGTAGGAATTTTCTTTCAATTACCAATAAACACAGCCCTAGAAGAGGTGAAATTTGCACCCTGTCAGCTCTGTGCAGACACATATGCACATTGTGTTAGGATCCCAGAAGATACTTGGCATTCTGGCTGGCTAGGGTTGGCTCTTTCACTCAACGCGGAACTGCTTTCAGGTAAAAACTGCAGCAAGAGCAAGGTGCTTCTAGCAGAAGATTAGGGCAGTTTAAGTTTGGCTGTATGTTTTAACAGAGAACAAAGTTTTATTAAAATTACATACTGAGCTTTATTTTTGCATTGTTTAATCTGTAAAGAATATAATCTTTTTGGGGAAAAAAAAAACCTGCTTAAAAGAAACACCTGGTAGAACATGCAAATTTAAGTATTGCTTTACTTTCACAGAAATAGAGGACCTCTTTTGTTGGTTTTTTTAAAGTTACATGTGATTGAAACACATTTTAAATGGTGAAATTAGTTTGCCACAAGCTGAATTGCAATTTCATATTTTGCATGCTAGAGGCTCAGTCTAGCACACACAAAAAAGCTAAGTTTAACTTAGCTAGTTAAAACAGGATTTCTTAAATGTTTGTGTACTTTGCTGAACTAAGACCTAAGAGATACCCACTTGCTTTTCATATTGGAGAATTCTGGGGCTTAGCCTTTTTGTCTTAAAGAATAGAATCAAATAATATACCTCTGCTTAAAAAATAAAAGTTTTAAACATCTCTATGGAGGGCTATTGTTTATGTTGAGAACTGCTATGTTACAGCTGTAAATAAGAGAGTTTATTTCAGTTATTCCAGAATTCTGGTACCTGAAGAATACATACCTAGATCTGAGGCATTCAAGAAACTGTGCAACTGGTTTCCAGCTAAAAGCTAAAGAATCGTAGAGCTAGAAGTGGATTTTAGTTCCTGACTTTTTGCAGAATGGCACCTACTTACTGATACAAACTTTTTTAATGGAAGTAATGTGTTGTGCCTTGTTAGCTGCATCCAGCATGCATTTTTTTTTCAGGTGTTTCACTTACATTTCAGTCTCAGACTGTGCCTTACTGCGGAAAGCAATGGTATATTCACACCCTTTTGTACTAGTGAAGACACCCAAAGGAGTGTCTATAAAGGACTTATATCAGCAAATGGACAAGTCAGCACACACCAAAAAAAAAAAAAAAAAATCAAAACTGCCATCTAGTGTTAGGTTTAAGGTTGGCAAAGAGGCAGCATAGCACAAGTAAGGCAGTGGAGAATAACGTGAGAGGTAAGAAGGGACAACCATAGTGATTATACAAGGCTGAAATTAGCTCGTGTTCAACACTATCGAAATCTGCTGGAGGTGAACTTTAACTAAATCTGCTACAAATAAGTGAAATATATTTCAACAAAGTAATTGTATCTGAGCAAAGTTGTAACAGAGAAACACAAATATAAACTAGGAATCTGTTTAAATGTAACTCCATTCAATTACATTATTCTTAACTGACACAGTAAAGCAACATTTGCTCTGTTTCCTAGAAAGTCATATTCCCGTTAGTACTTGTTCCTTTCTAAGAAGTCTGGTCATGTGTTTTCTTAGGTGGGATTGCTTCTTGAGTCAGAGCTGTAGAGCATAAAAGACATTAACAGTATGGCCAAAGAGAGAGAACAAGAACAGAAGCCAAGACTAATAAAGTTTATGTGTAGGAAGTTTATATGCAGAAAAGTCAGGTACTTTTCAAAGGTTGTTGCTGAAGTTCACTGTTTGAAATACCGGAAGCATTATGTTGCTTCTAATACAGATAAATATCTCCCATTTTATCAAGGGAAAGCAAGATAATGCTGTAAGAAATCCATACATCTGTACATACTTGCTGTGACAACCTCATTATTAATCTTTTTTCTATAAAGATACAATTTACAGGCTCAGCAAAAAGCAGGAGAAATGGCCACTTCATACCACATCTAGAAGGGGTAAATAGGATTGACTGTTCTCACAACTTTTCAACGGCCCTTCTGATATATGCTAAAGTGATACCAGGAATGCATGAAAAATAAAAAATACAATTACTGCAATAGTGCAACTGAAGTAACGAGAGCTGGAAAGCATGGCTGACAAGCAGGAAGGTAAGAAACCACAAGTGGGACACTTACAGTTTATCCAAGCATGGAAGATGATTCACACAATGTGGCTGTGGTATTGAATGTAGGGGGATTTTCTGACAAGGCAATATCTGCATGTGCCATGCAAAGGTAGACAGCAACATGGTGCTGCCAGATTGGATTTTTCTTGCGTGCTTATCATATGAAAATCACTAACCGATTAAAAGCATGTGAGATGATCATCAATAGGCATTATACACAGAAGACACACACGCAGGAAAACTGAAGTTTGGATTTGAGTTGTTGGGCAGCTGAACCCACGGTATTGTGACTTGACCTGTGGCAAACCAGCATTATGCCCTCTCCTTGCTATGCTGCTGGTTTTGTGGCTTACCAAAATTGAGTGAGTTTGGTCACACAAGGTGGACTAGAAACAGATTCTGAAGTGCGTAGTCATGGCACACTGGCATACAAACAGCAGCCTCTGGAAGGCGCGGCCTACAGGATTCCCTCTCACAGTACATTTGATAAAGCAGGTCCATGTTTCTACCACTGAAATGGTACATTCTCCAAGCTGCTGTATATAGCTATTTTTACTTTCTACACAAAGAAAGTGAAGATACAGTGACAGTAGCATCCCGTATGTAATTGGATGGCCATCTTCACAGAAGAGAGCAAAACAAAGACATTGAGGTGGACAGACTGCAACAGAAAAGAATTTCTGCTCATTTCCCACTGAATAAACCAATACTGTGCTTAGTCATATGGCTGTGGGGAAGACAGGGAACCAATTTTACCATGAGGTAGCTGACTTTCAAACTAGATCCTTAAAAACACGGTATCCATTTCTAATTGGTTAGAAGATAAATGTGGAGGGATGGGATAACTTACTAGCATCACCACTCTGACTTCTCAATCTTGCTTAATCACCCCATCAAGCAGATGCTTCTGTCCTTAATGGCAGAGAGAAAAATACTAAGAACTGTAATGCCATAGTAGCTGAAAGCTTCCTGTCTTGGAGGATTATTTTCATGCTTAGCTATTAGGAGATGGATAATAAACCTATTCTTTTGGTTTGAATTATTTCTTATTGAATAAGCAAGATAGGGACTTTTCTGTAATGGAGTATCAAAGCATAACTAGGAAAAGAAAAGTTTGTTGCCAGAATAGACAAGCACAGTTTTACAAGTGCAATTATAATTTATTCTCATTAAACAGGATTATTTTTTGATGTTGTTTTGTTTTGTTTTTTAAATCAAAAGATAGTAAAAGTTGAATTGCTGTGAAAAAGATTATGAAAAAGGTTACAGGTAGAGATTCATTTACAGCTGATTTATAAAGTTAGCACTTTATTTCAGATAAGCATAATTTTCTTCTTTCTGAAATTAATATTAACTTTCTTAAGCAATTGCTTCCATATGAAAAAAATGCAAGTCCCAACAGTAATCTATTCTGTAAAGAAAGAGTTTAAGATAGTTCAGGAACAAATACAGCAAAATTCCCTGAAACACAAAAGTGAAAATGTATGCTAAGCAATTCAAGTGTTCTATTGGTTTTCCATTTGTCATTTTTTCCTATTTAAAATTGTTACTAAAAACCTACTATTACAAATCATTAGTTTTCCATATCCAGATCACCCATAGTATAACTGTCATACGTTCACCCAAACGCGTACTTAATATCTGAACATCCAGTCACCATCACAAAGTAAGGGCCCTGTCCTGCAATCAAGCTCGGCTGATCAAGCAGGACTCCTGGAGGTTTCAGGGTGCATAGAACTCACTGTAAGCTTGTATTTTAGAGAATCGAAGGCCACAATCCAGAAGAAAACACCTTTCCTCAGTAAGTTTAGTGATTTCAACTGTATGTAACTGCTGATGGTCAATTGTAGGAATAGGATGTAAGGGAGCAGTATTAAATCTAAAACTGCCGTCGTAGGATATTCAGTCTCTATTTATAGTCAGGCTGAAGCATCTTGCAGGGGACCCTGAATGGCAACAGCTTCAATCTCAACTCGGGCACCCTGTGAGAAAACAAGCAGGAAACATATTAGGAATTTAATATATCTATTTTACGAAGCAAGTGGATGTATAACAACCTTGTAAGAACAGAGTGACATTTGAGGGAGATTGTACTTCTGACAGTTGTATTACTAATTTAGCAATGTTAAGTAACACTGAAAATTCATTTTACTCTTACTTAAGTATCATAACCCCTTATTTCTAGTGTTGTAGCCATCTTCCACCGTAAAGAAATGTATCTCTCATATTCAGATCTCTTATCATGTGTGGGAATAAGACTGGTATACTGGGAAAAAAACGAAATACTTAAGAGTCTTCATTAAAATAATTGCAATTGAAGCTATTCCAGAATAAGAAAAGCTGTCAGAATGCTTCAGAAGTAAGGAATTTCGCAAAATTCTTTTTTTTGTAGGCAGAAAAGTGACACTTACTTTTGGCAAAGCGGCAACCTGATAGGCTGCTCTGGCTGGGAAGTTTGTCTTGAAAACTGTAATTTAAACAGAAACATCCACCAACATCCACCAATCACTTAACTTTACTTGATAAAACACAGTTCAAAGTAATCTGTATAAAATGCAGTCATTGGAACAGTTTCAGGTTCAAGGCTTCAAGACAAATAGTCTTCTGTGCCAGCTATCATTTCCCCCTTGTTGGTTTTTTTTGGTCACTGGCTGGTCTAACATCTCAGCGAGCTACCATTCATTATCGAGAAGGCTACAGTTGTGACCTAGCAGCCAGTGATAACTTGCACTCTGCTGACACTGCATGGCCTTAACACCAACTTGGCTGAAAAAGAAAGATTAAATCAGAACGGTGATCATCCAATTGCAAAGACCAGAAAGTGGGAGAGGGCTTTCACAGACAGAGCAAGAAGGAGAAACAGGCCCCTGCCAAAAGAGTCATGAGCAAAGATCCCAGATTTGCCTAAAGTCAACAGGGGCCAATCATACTCATATCAAAGGAAGGTGGAGTTAAAATAGGCCCTTGACCTATTCCTCCTTGACCTATTCACAATTAGGCCTGGCACTCAAGGATATTAAAAGAACAGGATGGGGGGGGGGAAGGGAGGAAAATAAAAAGGGTATTGGTCAAGATATAAGAGCTAAATGTATCGAATCTTAGAACAGTTTGGGTTGGAAGGGACCTTTAAAGATCATCTAGTCCAACCCACCCCCCTGCCATGGGCAAGGACATCTTTCACTAGATCAGGTTCCTCAAAGCCCTGTCCAACCTGACTTTGAACGCTTCCAAGGAATTTGCATAATTAAATGAAAGTTTTACTAGTGAGAGTTAACACTAAGCTCAGAAATGTTAATTTCAGGGTCCTGCACTGACAAGGCAGGATAATAACTCACAATCAAAAAACAGAAACAACTGCTTTCTTGAACTACAGGTAGGAGGCAACAAGTAACTAAGTATCCAGCTGGTCTTCTTTTACCCTGCTTAAATGTACACACAATTCCATTTTGACATGCAGAAGACTATGCTGATAGCTCATAAATAAAAGACTTCATCCAAGACCAGATGTTGCTATCTAATTAAAGCCCAAAGCTATATAAATAAGGAACTTATGTGCATACTCTCCCAAATTCTTCTGCAAGATATGGCTCATCAATAGGAATAACCTGTTTCAGTCTACACTCAGTTTTGTTAACCAAGCATTATTCTTTCTTTTCTTAAGTGGAGCAGCATGGCTCATCCTCATATAAAAAATGAGCCCTGTCCCATAACAATAACCCACAAATCATTTAAAGATACAAACAGACTTTAAAGAAATGGAGATACAAAATCGGAAATTAAGCATTTGAAGGCTCCCTACAGTAGAATTATATTAGGGACAACACAGAATCTATCAAGGTAAAGAGGCATGGAAGATCATCCTGTAGGGATAGCAGGAGTTGATCTTCACATGACAGTGAGCTAGTGGGATGGTAGGACACAAATCCACAAGAAATTGGGCTGTGCTTGATCTGGTGCTTGCAAATTAATTTTTTTTTTTTTTTTAAATGTTATATTTCTACTGGAATCTCAAAGAATCTAGAACTACATCATCTGAGTCACTAAAACACTTTGCTTACTGTGAATATAGTTTGTTCCACAAGCCATGCTGGTAAAACAGAAAAAAAAGATCTACTTACATTGTTTGTAAATATCATTAATGTCATTGAAGTCCTTCATGTCTGCCATCAAAACCGTAGTCTTCACAACTAGAAATTACATATCTGCCATTATTTTGGACCTCTGACTTTTATACAAAAGTTGAAAATCTTTAGTGCATTTCTTGCTTTTATTTCATAAATTTCTCTCAAATATTCTAAACATATTGACCATTAGAGCTATCACCTAGAGAATCATCTAAAAAATCTGAATACCTAGTACATAACAAAACTTTAAGGAACTAGACATTCCTGGCCAGCTCTGAAAATATCTGTCTTAAATTTTGTTCTAAGCCCAATTCTTCCAAGAGGCACAGAACTGATAAGCAGGTCAAATAAAAAAAGCTGTTGTAAGCCAACTGTTGGCAAAAATTACATCATATATAATATCTGCTGCCAAAAAAAAAAAAAAAAAAATCCATAAAAGGCCTGAAGATATAGTCTGGGCTAGAATTTTTTACCCATGACTGCCCAAGCCAACATTAATCCTGGTTTGGCTCTGCTATTAGAGTCCTCCTGAAAAAAGGCACTGAAAGTGCCTAGAATATTAACACCATCGATACAGACCTGCTTTTACCTTGAGCAAAGTCTAGGGTGCTTAAAACGCCTGTAGTCAGTTGCAGCTCTGTCTATACATGAGTTTCATCAGTTAGGATTAAAATATTGGTACTGTGGACAGGAACTTATGATGAAAAGTAGTGTCCCATTGAACACTTGCACGTTGATTTACTTCTTTTCTTTTTTAACCCAGACTCATGATTCCTTTTGTCTCCTTCAGCTATTGATAACAACTGCATGTTTAGCAAACAGCTTTTTTTTTTTCTTCTTTCTTTAAAAGGTCCCTTAATTTTTTTTTTTTTTCAATCCAGGTAGGTAAAAACAACCACTTGTTTGCCACCATCACCGCAACACTTACCATTGCCATAGTCACAGCCTGCAGCTTTCAGGATTTCTCCCATGTTTTTTAGAGCCTAATGAAAAATGAGATAAAAATCTTTAAGTATCAGCTGGGTTGTATTTAGCTAAGTATGTAAATATGAGTTGTAATCTGGCTACATCCATGTTATAGTGTAAGTTCACCCAGCAAATCTTCAGCGGTCATGAGTAAGCAAAATCAGAAATAGTAAATTAATAAAAGGGAGCTTCTAATAAACCACAAATATTAAACCGTCCATTCATTAGATGTAAATGCATGATGGAGCGCCATCTCATCCTACCTATTACCTCACACAACCTCTTTGCTGCTGGGGGAACAAACCTTTCCCTATCTCAAAGCCACGGTTTTTACTAGGGTCTGAACCTTTGTTACAAACATTGCTTCTTTCCTACATGAAATACAGATTCCTCCCCGACCCCCATGGTTTTTGAGTAGAAAATGACAGGGATAGGATGGAATGACTTCCTCCTGCTTTTCCCTCAGCTTGGAGGATGTGAAATGCACTCTCCTGGGCTCTTCAATTTCTCATAAGTCCGTGTTTAACTAAGCACATGCCAATTACAAGTTTATTGCTAGAAGACATCTTACCTGCTTAGCTTCTTCCTTTGCCCCTCCAGAGACAAGCTGCCCAGTGGAAGGTTCTATACCTATCTGTCCTGCAATGTACATCGTCCGGTCTACCAGCACTGCTTGGCTGAAAACATAAGTGACATTTTAGGTTTAACGTTTCCTCATCGAAACATTTAACTATCTAAAAGCATACTTCACATTTTCTTCAGCAGTATCTCAGAAAGATAGAGGACTTAGGTTACGTGTGCACAAGTACACACAGTCTTACGTTCAATCTGCTTATGCCTTGGGAGACCTGGGATTAGATCACCTATGGAAAGACATAGCTACATCTACATTAGCATAGTTCTGGTTTTGAGGTAATAAACCCTCTTTCTTGAAACGGCAAAAGGCATGAGTGCAGCAACACAACACTAAACACAGCTACACAGCTTTCACGCTGCAGATAGCACAGAGGGGAGGCAGAGTAAATAAATACTTTTTGCACCTGCCCAGATAAATATTCCATCCCAGTTTGATAGGTAGACAATAGCTTTCATCTACACCCTGGCTGATGAGCAATGAAGTTTAAAAAAAAAAAAAAAAAAAAAAAAAGCCGATTAGTAAATTTACCATTTTCTTCTCAAACGGGCACCATGATAAATGAGTTACAGCTATGAGATGAAGCCCTGCACACTAGTTCTCTGGCATTATTCCCCCAGAGTCATGAATTTGGCCCATCAGCACACCACCTTGATCACTCCATTCCCAGAACAATCACTGCCCTCTCACAAAATAACCTGGATGACCTGTTAGCTGGGTTAGTTCAGAAGAATGCAGAATTCAAGCTATTTGCAAAACATTTTTATATAAAATATCAGGTGTGTTTCTGCTGAAGTAGAGTTGGCAATTATTAATGTCTCTAATTACCACAAAGAGATCAAAAGATTAAAACAAAGATTTAAATTACCTAGCAAACATTATGGAAGAGATATAATTTACTTCTCTTCAGCTGCTAATTAAAAATATTTTGCAAAGAAATTATAGAAAGATTCTTCTGAAAGTGTTTGTGGTGTGTCAACACTGTTTTTTCTTATCTCTTTCCATTCCACAAGAAAATGCATTGTTTTGACAGTTCAACAAACCTCTCAAGTTACAGAAATTAGAGTTAGGCACCTCCCTGAAGTATCTAAATTAGGAGGTTAGCTTCCTTTAATGTCAATGGAGAAAGAAAGGGACTCTTTCAGAAAACATTTTTATTACATCTCTTAATTGAGATTGACTCAATTGGATTGGCTCAATCCATTGACTTCACAGGCGACCAACCTAATTTAAGGATTCAGTAAAATTATTACGGTTAGGCAATCCGAACAATGCCATCACTCCCATCTTTCCTTTTACCCCTGTCCTCCATGTATAGGAGAATTACATTCTCTTGTAATTTCATAAGGGGAAAAAATAGCCAGTAACTTAACTGATATAATAAATTTATCTTATGTGGTGATTATTTTCTCTATCATCAACAAAACCGGAGTAAATCACAAAACTACACCATTTAAAGAAGAGAAACTAATGAATGAAGTAGTTTTCTAACTAATGCAGTCTTGTTGATAGAAAATATGTGTAGGAACCAAAACCACATGCTTCTTTAATTTTATTTTCTTTCCTACCATGTCCTGCTTTGTTTGAGGCACAGGCCCCTTAGACCACAAAATTCTGTTTCTGTTTGAAGCACAGAGAACCATGCAACAACAAGGTATGAGTTCTCTCAAAAAAAAAAAGAGATTGTCTTTTACTGCTTATTATAAAGCAAATGACACAATGAAACATTTATCTCATCAGGCATTCGGACAGTCCTAAATCACAAATAATTGGGGAAAAAACAAGCTGAAGCCTTCTGATATCACTGCCAGATCAACACCTGCAGCAGTCTTATTGGGTCCCCTTCTCTGCTCCTCAACTTTCTTCTCTTGGTATGCTTACCAGTGGAATCCTCCGTTCACTAAGACTATTAACAATTTACCAACGAAAGGGTATACTTCTACTGTAGTCAAATGCATGAGTGAAGCTCAGAGAGACTTCAACTACACAAACCCCAATCACACTTTAACTGCACATGTATCCTATAACTAGGGTGAAGCACACCTACTCTTTAATCTCCGATTCAGCAGAGATCTGAGTGTGTGCCTAAAGTCATTCAGGTTTCAGTATACCTAAGTGCATAACTGGACAGACGTTATGACCTTAGAAGAACATCATCCATCAGAGAGATGGTGTTAAGAATCATGCTCTTTAAAGACAAGGACGGCAAAGTTAATCAGATCTTCTTTATACAAATGATTGTTGATACAAAAGTAGTATCTCTGCTGTGCCTTTTTAAAAGTTTAATATCATTAGTGAGATATGTGTATATATATATACACACACGTACACACTCACACGCATAAGTCTTTTTATGTATCTATCTACCTACTTATCTAAAGGTACTGGAAATCGAATGCAGTAAAGGAAATACAAAAATACATTAAACATAGGTCACCAAAAAGCATACTGAAGGGCTGTAACAGAACTTGGAATGCAGCCCATCCATTCCAATTCTTCATTCCTCTGTTACCATGCTCAGACTCCACAGCAGAGATGTAGCAGTTATTTCTTGTGCAACTTTTGGTCCGTGGACTTTGACAAGTTTACTGAAACCTGGTAAACTAAGTTAGTGATAAACTTACTGATGTTAGACCCGTCATATAATTAACAGGCTGCATAATAAGCAGTATTTCATCAAGAACTACCAATAAGCACTCCAATGTTGGAGTGCAGTTAATCCACAACAGAAGCGGAGAGCTATGTTGAAGGCTAGGCCAGTTGGGGTGGGGGTGGGGGTGCATGCAGCTGAAGAACTGTTGCCTCCCCATGTCTTAGATGTTCTCCTAACTACAAGCGATGCCAGGCCCCTGGCTGCAATCCAGTATACTGTTGGCAGAAGTTAACCTTCATGTCATGTCTTTCTGCTTCTACACTTTATATTTCTCCATCTTTATATTTCCTATAAAGAACACACAGCTTGATGCTCAGGAAGCTCAGTTTCAAAGTAACGGAGACAAAAATGCACGTGGAAGGCACTAAGATGCTACAAGTGGAAAAGTTTAAACGAAAGGAGTCTGTGTTTGTATTGGGAAAACAAAGCCTGAAAGTAGAACTAAAAATTCTTAGAAAATGCCCTGGTAAAAATCCCTCAGTACCTTAGATATAAGAGTCTGCTATAGTTATTGAACATTTTTTCACATTCAAATAGCAGAGAAACCTTTCTCCCATTAAAATTGGGATTTTTTTTTTTTAATTACGTTCAGAACTGTTGCAACTAACAACTTACCTGTGAAAATGTTGAACAACACCTTATATATTTTTACAGCAGTTAGTTTTTAGACTGAAAAGTATTTAAATCTTCTGGCAGTCACATTCAAAATAAGAAAAGATTTGCAGTTCCCAGGCAGTGAAATCTCCAACTGCCAAAGCACATCCTGGATGGGGCTCGGTCTTCAGTGTCCCTCGTCTCCAGAGACAACATTCACTGCTCACTCGCCTATGCAACATGCTTTTTCCTAGGCAAACTTTTTTTTTCCCTTGAGAGGAATCACTCTTTCTCTTGCATTTTTTTTTCATTCATTGCTTATCACTGATTTCAGAATTATTTTTCCAAACTGACTTTCTGAGAGACATTTTAAAACCTCACTTAAACAGATCAGGACCGCCTCCCCCAGCCAGGCCGAAGTTCGCTGCTAGCACTGCAGACCCACCCGTGCTGTAGGGATCCAGGTGTCCGGGGGGCGGGGGCGTGGGGGGGAGGTCACCGGGGAGGATATCGGTCCCTGCGCGG